TGCTGCCACTTGGTGCAGGCTCTGGCTCCTCCTCCTCTTCATCTGCAACACGTAAGACTCTTTTGTATAATAGAAGAAGCGCCAGGGAAGAAGAACTAATGGTTTCAGCACATGCCCTTCTGCAGTACGCAACAACAATTGCTGCTGAAATAAAAATGACTGCATAATTAGGACCTCCATTTTTTTTGCAGGCATCATAGGGGAAATTAAATCATGAACTTCAAATATGGGGTTGAGGATGCAGGGCTGAAGATGAAGAGAAGATAAGAACACGCTCTGATAAGGAAAACTTGATGAAGATGGCCACTCAGAAGACAAAGATACGTCTGTGGGTCTGGGTGGCAGGATGTTTGGTGTTTTTTTATTTATTTATTTCTTTAAGGATGCTGTTGGTAGCTCAGACTAGTGTCAATTAATAGGATAATGAGGTTGATTAATTAATAATATATTTCAGGCATATGGAAGGAAGTGGTCACAGTCTAATTTGTATGAAATAGCCTTCTTTTGGAGGAGACTGAGGGGAAAAAACCTCAGTCAAGATGACCACTAGGAAAAGCTTCAATGAAGCTTCCATATGGCACTTCTGCATCTTCACCTTTTTAATTTCTTAACATAAATATCAACTTGGTTAACATGAAAACTTCTGGGGTGAAATTAAGTATTACTTATTTTGATACACACACATATATATATATACTATATTTAATTTATTTTGGAATATATAAACCTGTTCATAAATAAATTTTTAATATTAAAATATAGGACTATTGAAAGTAAACACATTTTCTTTCGTGAAACCTTTACTTTAATGCCATTAGTAGTTAAATCCCCCGATTAAAGTCTGGCCAGTGTTTAAATACCCTATCCCACATAACAGAGGCAGTGTTTAGTTCTTAATGCAAAAGTCATGAATAACCAACACATCCATATCAACTTTAAACCAATCAGTCAATGGATGTCTGTTATAAGCGAGCTTAAAGTTTTGTTGCCAAGTGTTCCGTGTTCTTCGCTTACCTTCAGACACTTCACCACTGGAGCCACTCGAGTTGCTGCAGTTCCACTGGGGTGTACCACCGACGTCCGGCTGCGACTCTACTTCTGCACAAGCTGCCTTCCAGATCTCAAGACGGGCGTACAGTGTGCTGCCACACTGTGGACAAAACATGCGCTATAAAGACAAGGTGAGGTGTCTGAGGAGGCTTTACAACTGCCATCATTACTAAAATCCACAAATAATTTGCCTGTCAAAATTTTGTACTCACACTTCTGTTTTTCCCCCAATGCACCTCTTACTTTTGTGAACACGGAGTTACTCAGTACAGGAACATAATTCACAAAGACTTGGTTCTATTCCAGAAATTACCTCAGGTGCTCTCTTCTGGAACTCCTCTTCTGAGAGGGCTGAGAGTGCCACACCATCCATATTGAAGTATTCAATGCGGATCATGGGCATATTGTATTGACGCAGCGTCCACAGGAGCCAGGCCTTGACATCATCCACTGTCCACTGAGCCAAGTCTGGAACATGATCCACTTCACTAAGCGTACAGTCACTTACTGGATAATCAGTAAAAGTTCTTCTAACAGAAATGGTGTAATTTGGAAGATGTCACCAATTCAAGCCTCCATTTTGATTCAGAACAAACTTCCAGACTGTCCTAGCACAGAATTTGGAAATGAGGTTCAAATCTCATGTCCAAAATGGCGCACGCAATTAATCTAGCTTTCTGCTACACCTAAAATGAAGATGAAGAACAACCTTCTCTTCATTTGGATCCATGTAACTCGAAACAAATTATGTCAAGTAAAATCTGTAAATATTTTATGCAAGACTCAATGTTCTAGGATATATACAATGAAAGTTAACCAAAAATAAAGCCGTATCTGACACAACATTATTATGTCAAGTAAAATCTGTAAATATTTGATGCAAGACTCAATGTTCTAGGATATGTACAATGAAAGTCAACCAAAAGTATATCCTTATCTGACACAACATTTAATGTCTCCTCACATGCTAGTGTGCAATCTGTTAGCGTCGATGCTACAGTTAACCAACTAATACCAATTCCCAGGTAGCAGAACCCGCAGGTCCAACACCAACAACGCCGAAGCCCGCCACCACACACAATCCTGAGCCAACTCCATCCGTTCACCATCCTCACAGCCTACCCCCCTAAGATCCATCTTGATATTATCCTCCCATCTCCTCCTTTGTCTGCCCAGTTGTCGTTTTCCAGGAAAATAACAATTCATCACTTGAACACAAGGTTTAGTAATAATGTCGACTGTCGACAGTTGCGACAACTTTATACAGCGAAAGCTACAAATGTTTTTGATGCCATAGCATAACCAATTGTCTGATAAAGTTTCTTGATAAGTCAGTTATGAACAAGATAAAGAAATCCTTGCTTCTGTGAAAACTAAGATTTGCCACTGCATTCACATGACTGGAACGTCTCCTAGGTTAGAGGAATCAACTACACAATTTCCCAGTAGCATCTCACCCCCCAAGATCTCATGTAGGGATTCTGGGTCTGATCTCAGATTTTTCTACCGCACGAAGTCTTCATCTCTGGGTGGGGGCACGTTATGCTGTCTGCCCCCTACGCCAACCACCACTGGGGGTAACAGAATCTGCTCTATTGGTGCTCCCACCTCAGAAATGGATTCCAAACTTGCCTAGGGTTGGTAGAAAGAAGGAACAGGCTTTGTAAACCATCCCTGGGGGTATCAGAAACAGAACCACATTTATTCTGCAATTTGGAACTTCGTAGGCCCATGAAAGGCATTTTCAGTAATGGCAAAAACCTATCATTACCATGAATTTTATGGAAACCAACAGAAAACAGTTCAAATTGTTTAAATGAATGGATCGGTTTGCCCACAAGACTAAGTCATTCCCCTTGAGCAGCCATATTTTAAAATTCACTGTTTTGCAGAGGCTTCGACTGACACCGGGCTCACGACCAAAACAAAAACACCAGGAGATTCTGTGATTGTTACCGTAAACAATGAGCATAAATTTTGAACTTACTCTGAAATGCTGTAACAGAGAGTTCCTAAGTCATCTGCCATTGTTGTTCAATGCATAAATGCAGAGTTTTCTTTTAAATAAACTGTTCTTGTCCTTACTGTACGGAACAGCCAGTCTTGGTTTCTGATTTTGGAGTAGAAATGCACGCTCTAGCCAGAGCAAAGGACACCTTGAGGACCCATTAATGTATGTCTGTGTTTTCCTGCATGATTGGGTATCATTGTTGTGCAACAATGACCTTGGATCGCGTCTGTGCAAGAATGAGTTACCGAGCATCGATGACCTGAATTAAATCAGTTTAAGAATGGCGTAAGGAGGAACAGTGACGTGGCGTGATGAAGAACCTTGAAATGTTTGTGTATTCGAAAGAGCGCACTTTCCAATCTTGCTTTTGTCTTGACGTCTTGTTAACATTTTAAAACCGAGGATATGTTTGTTTCGGAATAATAAATCCGGTCACAGCTCTCGGTGTATAACGGGTCGGTCGTTTTATGAAACTGGACTAGAAATTTCATTTTCGTTATGTCCGCGTGGCCTTAACTGTGTCAAACTTCTGGACTCATGTAAGAGTGACGTCTGTTTCGAGGATCCCACTTCGACTAAAAGTGCCCGATCCGCCACCGCCCAATCCATTTCCCCCCCCCCTTTTTATTTTATCGAACTGCGTGAAAATTACAAATCGCAAGGCTTCTCCCGTCCTCTCGCTCCGTGGTTGCGTTACTTCCCCGATATCGGGCGCACATTCTCTCAGTCTTTGTGACACGCCGTAACCTTGACAAGGTGGGTGTGGTACGGGCCTTGCCCTTATGAGACGGACGCAACAGCAGCGAGCCAGCTAGCTAAGCTGCCACGCTTGGCAACACACAACAAAACAAGTTCAAATAAGTTACGAAGAAGAATGAAAAAGACATTAGAAAATTCTATCAAACGCTTTGTTCAAGTCACCAAGAGCTTTCATCAAGAAACACCCACGAGGCCAGGGCACGTGAAGCCCCTCCATTCCGGCGGGCTGCTGCCAGATGCCCGAGAGTCGTTCTGACACCAAATTTTCGAAACCTGGCGACACGACTTAAAAAGCTTCAATATGTTTGTTGCCACAGCAACGAATTTTCTACGTGTCTGAAAACACCAAATCTGAACGCAACCCACGCGGAAATCTGATCTGGGCCATGAAACTTTAGTCAAAAGGGCACGTCTGCGTAAATTATTCGTGAATGTGTCTAACGAAAAACTTAAAGACTACAAACTCCGGTCTGAAACAACTTCACTCGCTGTTAAATTCCGAGTTGTATTCGCATTTTCAACGTAAGTAACGCCTTTACCTGGATTCAGGTAAGTAGGCCTACAAATAAACACGATTTTTGTAATAATATTTTCCATGCAATTTAACTCGGCCCGCTAAAAGACTCAATTGACTGCTAGTGGTCGGTCTGTCTCAAGTTTAATACAAATTCAGCAGAGTCTGAAGTAAACTGCGTTCTGAAATGGTCGGTTTGTTGCTCACCAACTAGAAATGACCTTGAGAGCAGCGTAGGTTGCGCCGATTATGGTTACATAAAAAGTTAATCAGATCTCGCTAACGAAGATCAAACACAACACGAACGACGTATGCGGGCTTGTTCCGTTGATTAAAGACGATTGGCC